TCTAATCAATCAGGCTATTGTTTCTGATGGACATATATTTATATATATATATTTTTTTTTTCATATTTTCATATTCTCATGTTTTTATTAACCTGCTTTTCATCTGATTCAAATGAAGGTGACAGAAATGTTGTTGTGTGTTCACAGCACTATAATAATAATTGATCTTTCCAGAACCATTGTCCTAATCACTCCGCATAATCCACATATGTCATTGTTTTTATCTGAACAATTTACTCACAAAAAACAAGCAGTGAACTATTTTCTGTAAAATAACATCTTGTGTCCATATGAGAGCAAATTGATTGCTTCACTTTTTGAATGAAAATGATGAAATCTGCAGCCATAAGGAACCCAGCGTCTTATTTATTTCAATAGGCATCAGAACCATATGCTTGCAGCAGACCTTTCACTGCAGAGCACCCTCTTTGTAGTACGATATGAAAACACCATCTGGTGTGTGAGCAGCAGCTAGGCTAAGCTAACTGGGGCTAGATAGGGCCCTGCTGTGTCAAAGGATTATCTTACTGGTTGGTAGAGCCGCTCTATTAGCCCCTAGTGGCTGGGATTATTGGATGATCATTATTATGTGTGACTGAACAAGGAGCTAAGTACCTGCACTTCCCCGATGCAGTTAAGTCTTGTTAGTATTAGTGATCAGACACATTACGAGCACATTTCGGAGCATTACGTATTTATTGCACCTATTCTGGGACATAAACAAACTGTTTATTTAATACACTTTGAGCTGGACTCAACACTGCAGTTAATACAAGCTGACTGGTTTTACCGACAAAGTCTGCGGCACGACTGGAACATGTATTTGTTTGTGGAAGTAGGATGTTCCTTTCTAATGCATCTGAAGTGGATCACAGGCGAGTACAGAAGACAGCACGTTCAGAGACGGACCCTCTGCTCAACAAAACGAACATCTGCCGTTTCCCATCAGCGAGATTGAAGCTAATGACGAGCCGTGAGTGTGCTGACAGAGAGAATGGAATTGGATTGTGTACAAGAGGCCCACTGAGACCAGACATATGTTTTGGAAAATGTTGTGGATCGAGTATGGGTTTTACATAGTGTGTGTCCTTGTGTGTGTGAGTGGAGATGCTGGAGAGTGGGAGAGGCAGAAAATAGGCCTCAGCTATTTCTTTTGCAGTTTGTTTATCTGTCCATGTTTATACAAGTGGATGAAGGGGAGTGTGATAGTGCAGGTAAAACAAGTGCTGCATCCCTGTCCCTTCAATCCCTGCTTTCACTAACAGATAATGGAATTACACATCAGAGAAGCTTCTCCCTGTATCCAATTCTTCTGTGACCTCTACCAGCCTTTGTTCATATTCACCACGACAACTCCCCGGGACCGAGCCTCCACCAGCAGGCTTCTCCTTGTTTCCTCCCTCTGTGTAGGGAGAGATTAAATTTAGATGCAAATGAAATATTCATTTCCACTCAGCAACTGATGGCCATCTTAATTTGATACAACTTTTTGATGCAACATCCCCTCATTGTTTTGCATCATGAAACGCTTTCCTTAATGTCCCTCTCTTTGCAGACCGTACCATCCTCTTGTGGGTGATCCTCGATAGAAGCACCCCCTTGGATTCGACTTTGTTAAAACTAGAATTCCAAAGAACCATTACAGCCTTTTGGAGTCTCTTGAAATATGTCTGAGTCATTTCGGATGAGACGTTCGCACAAACCCTCGGCGAAGACGAACTCGGGGAGCATGCGAGTGGAGAGTGCACTCTCTGTAGCTCGCTGGAAGAGTTAATCACATGAAAACTTCTCAGTCTCTCTCTGCTGCTGTTGCGGGGATAACGACAAGCCTCTGAAGTGGCTGTGTTTGGAGACTTCAACCAAAAGTGGTGACCACAAACCCAATTTATCCCTCTGAAGCCTCTGAGTGGTCACACTGCATGCAGCTTCGAGTGCTGCACATTTGTCAGCTTACGTTTACTGTAAGTCTCTGGGCCGTTTCACACACAATAATTAAGTCTGGAGTCATGGCCGCTCCGAAACATTTTAGGGAAGTTAAATGAAAAATGCATGTGAGCAGGTGTAAGGGAAGAGTGAGTAGCTGAGGAAATGAAATCAACATGAAATCATGAGGGAGATTGATTAACTGGCACTGATTAAGTGCTTTAAGTATTAGGTAGATAAAGTAATTGATTATTCAATAAATCCTTGTCAGGCAGCAAATAACCTCGCTGAGAGAAAAGAGAGGCAACAAATGATGAATTAGTTTCATTAAATCACAGATGAAGTAGACGATGTATAATAATCTCTCATTACTATATAAATAATATAAATCCTATACAATTCCTATCTGATGTGAGAGCAATGTATGTAAAGGCAGAAAAATGTGCACTGGAATAACAGCGCAAGGCACAAAAAGTCATGAATTCATCAGTGTGCTACTTTAATATCCATATTAATGTTTTCAAGTTGGCAAACATACACATAATTTGCAGACACGCTATCTCCAGAGAGAAAAATCACATCCACATGCTTGAGCACATTTGTCTTTATTATAGCAAAATTGCATGATGAACTGAAATGGTTCGTAGTTGGGATTAGAGGTTGAAAACCTGTAAGAAAAGAAAAACAGAAGAATAATGAAAAGGCAGGGAGAGGGAGAGTAAAGAGAAACTCAGCGTGTAAGAGGACAAATACCGGAGGAGGTCTTTTATTCCCTCCGACAAATAGAAGCTCCAGAATGAGACGGAGCGACCATCTGGCCTCAACTTAGAGCAATGCACTTTAAAAGCACTAAAATCAATGGCAACAACTCTACTGTGGATGCCCACCATTACCCAGATGGAGCACAGGCCACCTAACTAAGAGCAGACACAGCACACACCGAGAGCACCGCACACCACCGCCGCCCACCTTGATGATTTCCACTGGTATTTTGTGTTTGTAACCAGTGATGAGGAGCAATGTTGGCCATTGTGCACTGACTAAAAGAGAGCCCTCTGTTGGTTTTGGGACACAGGGCACGCACACACACACACACACACACACACACACACACACTTGCAGCGCTAAGAACCAAATTACAAAAAATGAAAAAAAGGTAAAGTAAACATTGAAAAAAATACACTCATCACCCAAACTAAACCTCCAACAGTGAATATTAACTGCAGCATGTCTGCAGTAATAATACTCACACATAACACACACACACTCCATCTTTTATCCACACCAATTATAAAAATTATTATATTCATTTTTCGGCGATTTCCACAAGTGTATTTTTGAATAGACAAATTAAAATGGATGCACACATGGCTGTTGAACATAAACACTCTGCTTCAAAAGATCATATGAAGACATAAGCCCTTTGAATTTTCTTTTTCTTTTTTTTTGCACAGAGGCAAATTCAGCAACCGTCCCTCTTCTCAGGATGTCAAAAAAACAATACCGGGAACACACACGCGAGCACACACACACACACAAACACACCCTGCGCCACAAGCAGTGATAGATTCTATAAAAAGCAATAGTGCGACTGTAGCACATTTCAAGGTAAATTTGTCTCAGCACTTTGACATTTTTTAAAAACAAAGCCTGCCAAGTCTATTTCAGGTCTTCATTTGAGCTGCTGCTACAGTAAGAAGGGGAAAAAAATTCCTTTGACCAAACGATTTCAGATCAGTCAAGAGGGAGCTTTAAGGATTTCTGCAGTTTCGTAAGACATCGCCAAAGTCCATACACAGCAATGTCAGAGAAGTCATGGCTCCACAGACTGCAGCAGTCAATCACAGGGACGAGCTGGGCCCTGCATCCCGTCAGCTGCATGTGATGCTCGGGGGTAAACACCATTCTGTGCTCTCACACTTTTCAGCTGAAACTTATTTTCATAATTTATAGAAAATGTAGAAAGGATCCCCAAGGTTGTGGAGCTGTAAAATTTCCAGGCTCTCCTCCATCCAACTTTCATTTGAATGAAAGTAGCCTCTCATTGTCCACCCACTGAGCCTGACAGGAATCATGAATCAAAAAATCAATCAGGAATCAGAGTGCAATCTTACTGATATGTCACACAAAAAGACGACTGGTTTCTGAGACGCCACTGACCTCAGTGCAGAGCACATTAGAATGGATTTTAGCAACATCCCTCCACTTTCACCCATCGAGATAAACTCGCTTCCTGCCTGCCCCGGTTCTCCAGGCTGTTGAAAGTGGTCTGTGTTAATGAGGGCCAGTGCCATTTTGAGTAATTGTCCTGCATGGCACTCTGCCAAATGTCAAAAACGATTTGCCTTGTGACAAAAACCCCGATTGATCTTCATTCTGCTCCTGTCGTCAGCATCAGAATGACAATTCTCACATTGTTCCTCAGTGAGGGATCGAGCCTGCTTCTTTCTCTCTTTGTCTCACATGGACGATCAGCAACATTGGACTTTACTGTGCTATTTCATCAGTTTATGTGTGTGTGTTCATTTGCAGTGATGATAGAAGATGGAAGAGATAAGAAATACACTTAACTAACCGACCTGAATAAACTAGTTACAAACTTTCTGATGGTGTGTTTCCTGACTGGAAACTGTAGCTTTTAATATATCAGACTGTCCTTTTAAAAAAAAACTTACTTCCAGAAGGCATGGCATTGAGCCTGATGACTCAACACACTGGCTGCAGAAAATGGAACAGACAAAGCAGGGTGCGTAGAGGTCACACTAACCCACAAGATCTCGCTGCGCGGAGCAGGCTTCCTCAAATTTATAGGCAATCGTCTACTATTAATGCACTGCTCTCCTGTTGCTCTCTACTTGCTCTCCCTTTCAGTGCAATGTCATTCACACACGCGTACGCACACAGACGGGTGTTCAATAAAAGAGACTTATTCCCATTTACTCCAAAAACTAACCGCTGCAGCTGAGAGCGCGCGGATGAGACGCACTGAAATGAGCCGAATAGGGAGCAAATTTGAAGGTTACAACCGCGCGCGTGTGTGTGTGTGTCAGTGCGTGTAATAGCAGATGCGAACTTACCTATTCGAATAACATGAGGCATCCCGTAAGAGTACTGAATCCAAAAGAGACATAGAATCAGCGAGGTCCAGTATTCCCAAATCGCGCTCCGGGGACACAGCCAAGTATTTCGCATGGTTGTAAAGTCGTTGGATCCACTTTTTTAAAATTCCAAAGACGGCTCTGAATTGCTCCTAAAAACTGAATTCGACGGAGCATATATGGATTTTGGTGTCTGCGACAAATCTGCGCTCATTGTACTTGGTGCGACATTCTTCCAGGATTTTTTTCTATCTCTCTCTCTGTTACTCACAAGTCTGAGCGCGTCTCGGTCAGGATGAAGCTCCAAGTCCCTCACAGGCGGATCAGTGATACACCTGCGAACACTGGCTGCTACAATTAGCCTGCAGGAGTCTCTGTATCCCCTCCTACAGCCGATGCTATCTGTCTATTGGCAAGTGCAGCGGCAGCAGCCGAGCCCAGACCCCTGCACCGCTGTGGAGAAGAACTGCGCCTGCGGAACTTTGGGTCGCCTCGAATGATTCTGTCTCCTGAAAGACAAAACCCAGAGAAGCGTTGCACGACGAGAGACGATGGATGTGCACGCACTTGAGACGTTAAAAAAACGCTTGCCGCTGTCTAATCACTCCAGTCTCTCATTGCAGTTCGTTAACCACAGGGATACTTTGTGAAGGCGGAGAAGCCGACGTCTCCAGTTGCGCACGGTGATGGCACAAGGATGGTTATTGAGGAGCGTCCAGATGTGTTAAAATAAAAGTCTTTGTTACAGCGTCCATCAAAATAAACCTTCTAGTTTGTGCTGATTTGAAACGAAGTGCAGAGAGCTGTGCATCTGCGTGCCTCTGACGACCATCCTTCCACAGTGCCACTAGAGGCACGCGTCGTTACGCATTGTTGTCAACTATGTCCAAGAAGTATTTTATGGGGGTGAAAGGGAGCGATGACCCGGTTCTCCACTTTGTCAGATGCTGCCTGCACACGAGTATGTTTACGTCCTCACATTTTATAGCTTATTATTTATCGCCCGTTTTTTTTCGGGAATGGTAAATATTTTTTTAATTTACTGCACAGACGTGGAAACGGCAGAGATATAGAGAAGGAAATCCCCCCGGGATGCACAGTGTGCTGTGAATGGGATGAATTATTTGCATGAGGGAAATAAGTGTCAGCTGAGGATTGTTCCATTGACAAAAGAGGCTCCTTATCACTGTTATTTGAGACATTCTGTCTGTGTCAATAAGAGTATAGAAACCTCTGGTAACTGCTGGGTGACTATCTGGTTCCCCATTTTTAATGCCTCACAAAGAGCCATCAGATACAAACTGCAAGTTACATATACAATCACACACTCAGTCACACACACACACTGCTCCTGTCTCTCTCACCGCTGCAATAGAGGAGGCACGTACTTGGTTTGTGGATCTCAGTAAATGTGTTGTGTATTTGGTGAGAATGAAACTTGTAGCAGGATTTAAAAAAATAAGTTTGGAGATGAAAGCTGCAGCATCAGGGATTCATTTGTGGCAATTCTTTATGTAGATTTGCTAGTTAAATGACCGTACTCTCAATTTAGATCGATGGATAGATTGATAGATGAAATCACAAATTTAAAAAATGATATTTTTACATCTTTGAATTCTAATGACTTTATACCACAAAACTGCATGTTCCCCATTAATGATATGGAGTTATTAAAGATAATCTAAAAATGCACTGCTACATTATTTGGGCCTAATAGAACGCAGTTGATGAGATAGTGCTGCGGCTCATTGGTTTTATTTTTCTGTTTGAAATGGGAGAGAGGAATAAACTGTGCATCAGGGGGCATGCAAGCAAGAACAAGCCAGACTGACTGCCGCTGCATATTCATGTCTCCCAGAGCAGATTTATCGCCTCTTGGCACAATGTAAGGACTATCAACGTGAGTTATGTGGCCCGGCTCTCGCATTATCGAGATTCATTGACTTGCTGCTCTTTCAAATACAAAATGTACACAGCTCTAGCAAACAAGACATTCTGGGTGTGCGGGTGCCCTCTATAGAGAGACGGCGGTGTTTGCTCTCAATCACCTGTGCTGATAACTGCAGGGTCGGGCCCTGGAGCGAGAGGGCTCCCCCACTGTGACACGCAGAGGAAATGTGAAGCACAAGATGATGATCTCTGCTAATTTTCGACATTTTGAAGAACTGCTGGAGCAAACCGGATTTGAGTTGTTTGTGTTTCTTACAGCAGTTGGCAATAACTCTCCCATGAAGCTATCGGTTTTGTCTTTCCGCCTCTCTCCTGTCGTTGTAAGGAGACAAGAAGACAAGACGTTATATTGTAGTGTCTCCTGCCATTAGCACAAGTAGTAGGAATGCACTTTGGCAGTGGTGCCACAAGGGGAGCAAACCAGGAGGATTATTCAAAGAGACCAGAGCAGTGCCGGTGTGTCCTGTGTCGTACAGATGACTTTAAATCAGTGGTGGAACATGTACTCACATCTCCATCACAAGTCATTCAAAACCATGTTTAAAATGTATACATAAAGTGTATATATACATAAACATACAATACTAACTGTGCAGAAATGTTTCCCTGTCTATCATATTTTATAGAATGATTTTATAACTGATAACTACTGCTGCCATAAAGCATAAGTAGTATTTTACTATTCTGGCTGGGTGAGTAAAGTACATTTTACTCATCCAGTTGTTCCCAACCTTGGGTCACAAGATGATTGAGGGGTCATGAGATGATTGATGCTTCGTTTTGCTTGTTGGGCTCAAATTGTATTTCAATGAAACCATAAAATAAGTTAAAGGTCAAATGCGTCTTCAGTGAACTGCTAACTGAACATCTCCTCATTTAAAGTCTGATCCTATAACCATACACTCATTATATCAAACTGCTTAATATACAATCTTAAACTGATTTTAGTATTAGAAATAGTAATAGAAAGTATTAACTCCACTGACATTGAAGTAAAACATACTATCAAATGAGAACACTCAAAGTACAATAATTAACAAGTAGGTGAACCTGTGCTTTTCACCACCATTATAAATAATCTGGAATTCTATGTAAAATTACATAAGACATATGCACACGCTGTGTTTCAGGAGCACCATTCACCTACTGTACAAGGAACCAGACTCCTCACTTTGACAACTCCTACTGTATTTTCTGAGGATTGTCAAATGATATCTGAAGTGGCTGTACAAGGCCCCATTGAAGCAACAAAGACACTGAAGAACACTGGGGACTATTACAACAGCACAAAACCACCGCTGAGATAACTCAGCCCAGTCTCTGTACTTTGAGAAAAAATTAAAAGTGGTTTAAGTTGCCACTTTCTAAGCAGGTCACACATCCATATACAGCAGCGCAGTCAGCCTTATTTTTTTCAAATGATTGCTGTTACCCTTACAACTGGCCAGCAATCAATGCCTCATCTGGCAAGTTGCTCGTAACTAATGGCTCCAGAAGCATCAAGTCCATTGTAAAGCTGGAGTCATTGACAAGACGTGTACTTAGTTGACGGGATTGATCAGCACATTTTGTTTATTTTTGAAGAGTGTGAGAGAGGAGAATGAGGACAATCAATTTCCACACGGCGCCTTTCACTGCCTGCGTATACACCTGATGATTGCCTGGAGAAGATAGAAGATGTGCGAGCCAAGATTGTACATAATTATTTGAAGAAATTGCAGCGCTTTGATTGAGCCTCAAGAATGAATCGTGCAAAATGTGTTCGACATTGATTTTGCTTTTCTCTTCACTAGAAACACAAAGAACTTTGTCACCAGACTGAAGATCGAACATCTCCCGTCAACAATGAGTCAATAGGAACTCATCTCTGGGTCTAATGTGGTTATAAATCAGACGCCGTTTACAGGTCTTTTTTGATGGGACTAACTTTTTTTTGACAAAGCTGTGGCTTTGTTAAAAGACAAGACGATTGTTTCATCAAAAGGCCGCAGACAACTTTTCAAACACTGAGGGAGCTGTGTTGATCTCTCAGAACAAAAGATAGACAAATTAAAAATGTGGTTGAAGGCATATAATCTTGTTTTCGTTGCTCATTCATCATTTCATTAAAAAGTAAGATGTTGTATGTTTCTTTTTTATATGTTTGCAGTACCTGTCCCCTGTCAGCCTCACCATACAACAGCCTTAAGAATCCAGCTGCTGTGTCTCGTATCTGTTGCTCTGGGTTTGTGGCAACTCCCTTACATCAGCTCTACAATGCCTATGCAGCTTTTATGGGCAGAGGCAGATAATTAAATGACGATTTACCCTCTTTGGCTGTATAGGGGCAACAACATCGCTGCTTTGCTGACAGATTGAACACTTGCTAAAGCCCCACACTCTTATGATTCAAAGCAAGGAGCCACGCGCAGACAAGGTTATGAGGAATTGGTCCAATTCTGGCGCTGATTGCACCGTTTACTGGGTCTCTACACCGCTCTAGCTCAGAGTTAGAGACTGCTCAAGATATATGTGCTGCCGTTGACGTGGCGGTGGTGTGTTAGGGCGAGGGGAGACAATCACAACCCTGATCAGTCATCCAGACAGTCTGTGAGATGGGAAATGACTGCTGGCGGGGTTCAGCCACTGGTTATAGATGAGAAAGCCACAGAGTAATAATAGATTCCTGACCAACCTGATTTATCAATTGAATTATTAGTGTTATCATCCTTATCACACCCGTCATCTATCTTCAATAACCACTGAACGCCAGCTTAAAATTGTGAAACAGCTCTGAAGTGTTTATAAGGAAAAGAAAATCTCTGCAGCCATAGTTTCATGACCATTAAAGCCACATGTTTATGTAAGAGACTTAAAATGAGTAGATATAATCTTAATCTTAATCTTAATTTCAGAAAAACATAATTAACACCATAGTTACAAAGATGTTTATTCTTTATTCTCCTGCTTAAACAAAACCCAAAGTGGCTCAGCTCTGAGCTCTGAAGACCCTCGAGGTCAAGGAGACAAAGTGGTGAATTAAAATCACACTGGAACTGGAGAACCTATGGAGTGCAATCAGGGAGAGATTCATTTTCCAGCAAAAACTCTCAATGATTATACTTGACCCTGTGTGCATTGTCTGCGTCACCAGTCCTGACCTGTGCTCCAGCACTCATCAGAATACAGTCAGGACCAGAATGTTGTTTTTGTCCAGAGCAGAGGTCACATTATTTGCATAGTTTATGTCTTTTTTTTACATTTTTCTATTGTGTTATTTTTGTTTGAGCTCTCAGGGCTTAAATTAGTTAGTTTATGTTTAAATGTTCTTGCAATTCGTAGCTTGCAATCCTCTACATTTCCTGTCTGTCTCCACTGTCGATTTATGTAAGTGAAAAAAAAAAAACCTTTAAAA